ATAAAGGTAGAGTATTTAAACATGTACAACAATTATAATTGTTGTTAATTAAAAACAAATTCGCCGTATATCATTTAACAAAAATTTCGTGCATTGTTTCGTAGAAAAAATAAACAAAAACAAATAAAATTGTAAAATTAGAAAATTAAATAAAAACTTGTTAATCTTATTTAAAGTAATATTTACTAAATATTTTTTAATTTTCCTATACATAACTAAATTGAGTTCCGATCTAGACAATAATATTGTAAAAATTTGATTACTTTTAATAATTTTCAAAATCTATCATTTGCACGTATCAATAGCGTTCATTAAAATTTAGAATTATAATAAACTGTTTTACAAATAAAAATCATTAATCTAGTGTTATTAATTCTGGAAATTTATCATATGAAAATTTTAATAAAATACACATCTATAGTGTGCTTAATGTTTAAATTTCATTAAAAAATTCATTGCTTAAACAATCATCTTTGAAAATACAATTTATCTCATATTTTACCATATTTAACATACATGAATGCAATACTTGTACTATCGACTAAGTTGGTAGTATTAAACACTAATATTAATTTCTAGGTAATAATATACGTACATTTATTGGAATTAACAAATACGAATTTCATTGATGTGCTGCTCTTAGTTGCTGCAAATATTATGTATAAATAATGTTCAACAATAACCACTAGAAAAGAAATCTGATATTTCTTAGAAGAATAATTTCAGAGGGCGACACGTGCGACAGATGGCGCGTACAGTCCTTTTCTTATTATAAAATTCTTTGGTGAATTTTACCGAACCGGGGACCGGTTTCCAATATTACCATTCACGCCTTAGAAGCGAAACAGTTCGTCGAATAGTGATTCTGCGCAAAAATACAAAGTAAGTAGTCTTTGTCACAAAACAAAAAAACAGAAATATTAATTTCGTACAGTTTATATCTTGGATATTTAATTCATTTTAGAATATTTCTAATCCTTGTTTAATTACTTTCATAGACATTAATAATATTTGTAAACGTAAATTTAATAGTTTAACAAATACTACAAGTGTGTTATGATAAACATATTAAAATATTAAAATTATATTTTTTATCATTGCGTTAAGCATAGATTGAAGTCGTATAATTGAATGCTACTTGCACTTGACTTCTTTTTGCAAAAATCTATGTTCTATCCGCTTTGGAAGGTTCTCGATGATGCAAGAACGACTGACGCGAAAGAAACACTGTACAAAAAAACTTGAATACGAACGTTGTTGGAAATCAAATCATTAGTTTCACAAATAGAATTCAGTTACGTTATATAAAATATAAGTTACAGTTTCTATTTGAAAAAGTTGATTGTATGAAATATATTTTCGTACATGAAAAGTATAGTTTTACGTTCGTAAAATCGTAAGTTTTTACGTTCATTTCTGCACGGTTAAAATATTTTCATTAATATATGAATATTTAATATTAATACATAATATTTAGTATTTTACATCGTGTCAATTTCTAATATTTGATGAAACACTTTAATTCCAGTTCTTTATGCTTTTTGTATCTTTGAGTGTCTGACCTTAATGGTATTGCTTCACTAGTTTTGTTGTCTTACAATCACTTCGTTTATTTGTTATCTCGAACACATTAATTAGAAACAGTTTTTGATGCGTCATCCTCTTCAAATATATATTAGTTAATGTATAGATAATTTTAGAAGAAATACAAATTACTTCTTTTTATTAAATTATTGTTTAACAAATAATATACGATATCTAGATAATACGAAAAATAAAATTAAAATTTATATAACAGCGATAAGCCAGAGGTTAGACTGAACAAGGTTCATTATTTTGTCTTATAGGTGAAACAAACTCGATAATTTACAAAATTCGAAGTATAAAATAAAATAATTTTTAATTATTGAATATATATAATAATTTTTATACTTTTATAATTTTTATTGTATAATTAGAAGATGTGACTTTCTGTAAAGAAAATTTTAAGAAATACATGTTATTCCGTTATTGCATAAATTTATGTTATATCAATTCCTTTTTTGTTACACTGTCACAAATAGATAAATAATCTTATGTGAAATAGGAAAAACATATCATGCATGATTTGGCTGTTTAAAGTTGTTATTTATATTTTTATAATGTTTTTATATTGTAATATATGTATAATGTTTATAACAAGTCATTGTACAAAATAATTTTTGATAATTGATTGAGCTGCATAAAATACTTCCTACTTTGTTTTATTAATAAATATAATATAATATAAATTTCATTCTTACTAATAAAAGTTTCATTTCTCTCTTTGTTGTAGAAACATAATCATGCCAGTCCCAGCACTTCAGAAACCTGCTCCTGCTTTCCATGGTACTGCTGTTGTAAATGGAGAATTTAAAGAGATTTCTCTTTCTGACTACAAAGGGAAATATCTTGTACTATTCTTTTATCCATTAGACTTGTAAGCATTTCATTTAATAAGTTTGTATTGTAATAAGTTTGTAACATATGCACTGATAAATATTTATTTCACAGTACATTTGTTTGTCCAACTGAAATCATTGCTTTCTCTGATCGTGTTCAAGAATTTGAACAAATTGGTTGTAAAGTCGTTGCTGCATCTACTGATTCTCACTTCAGTCACTTAGCATGGGTAAATACTCCACGTAAACAAGGTGGTCTTGGTGAAATGAACATTCCTCTTCTCGCTGACAAA